TAGAGTATACAAGAAAGACATAATGAAAAATGTTATTTGTACATCGAGATTGACACTCCGGTGTACACTCCCTTCACATGAGAGAATGAGCCCCACGATAGTAAAAAAAATCGTGAAACACCCCAAGTGAGGAGAGTGTCAACTCCGGTGTACGTGTAGCAAAACTCAGACATAATACATATAATGTTCTTAGTCAGATATCTTGTCGTTCGCATGCATCATACTCGATATTTGTGTTTGAAGATAGAAGATTGAAATGACAATGTTATGATGTTGTTGGCTAACCACTTTAGACATTAAAACTGCAACCAACTTGAACCTTTTCTAGGACCTAAGTGCTAAAGTAAAGGTAGCATTTAATGTTCCAAGGTTTTTTGTGTCACTTTATTATGGATAAATTGTGTGTGCTTAGGACTAAAGTGTGGCTCATTTATGACCGTTTATATCTAGAAAGATCGGCAAGTAGCCAAATTTATTTCTAAATTACTTTTTGTAATAACGACTAGACATGCAAATATGGTCCAATTCGTTCAGAAGTCAAGATTTGTTGTCCCATTTTTCTGTCCGTTTAATTAATTTTTTATATATCATCAATAATTAATATGTTATCTTAGATTTACTCTCATTAACTTCACTACTAACTTACTAAACTAATGTAGTGTCAAGAATTAATTGGACAAACAGCAAAATAAATAGTAAAATTGGACAAAAATCTTGACTTTTCGATCGGTGCATTTAATTAGCCAGCTTGCCTTTTGGAGTTTATAAAGAAAATATGTAGACTTATAAACTTGAAGACTTCAATCAGTCTGTCTACGCAACTTGTTCCAAATTTTGTCATTTTCACACAAGTATAGTTGATATACAATTGGACTTTGAACCTCAAACTTCAAATCTATCGGTGCAAATTTGTGTAACTAGTATTAACAACATCAAGACGTGACCAGGGATAAATAATTTTCACATATGTTTTATTCAATTTATGGTATAAATAGTGCCGATCTGTTGTCAATCAAGTTTCCGTCCTCATATGAGAATGAAAAATTAGAGCATTTTATGTACCGGTAGTTTTAATATTATTTAAATTATCGGACTAGTTATCCAGTTTTATCATATTTTACATGCTTTTATTTTTTTAATTTCTTGAAATTATGCTATAAAGGAGTTCTTGTTTTTTAATTTTTAGCGAAAAGAATTATGATAATTTTCCTACTTAATTCAGTTTTTAAACAACCCTTTGATCTTCAGTGTTTTACATTTTCAGAGAAAAAATAACCATTGTTTATGGAGCATAAGATAAAACTTGGGACAAGATTGGAGAATTTATTCCTTTTTAAGAAATTCTTACCCCAACATCTTATTATATCATGTGTATGTAAATCATAATATAAACATATTTTGTACATGGTGCATAAGATAAAAATCGGGAGAAAGATTGTTAAGACGTATATTTTTTTGGTTAGGTACATCGAACAATACCATAATCATACCACATAACATCAGGTGTTGTGCTGTGTTGTATTTTATTGAATTATGTTGTGTAAGAATTTTAGATACTGTCGAGCTTCGTATGTAGTAAGAGATACTTAGACGAAATACGTATGATTGAATTGACTCGTTATGGTGAAAGGATTGAGAAAGTGACACGTTGTGTTTTCCCTTGAGAAGAGCATATTATATCCACACACACGTTTATTTTATATTGAGAAGCCATTATCTAGGAGTGGAGTTCTGTGAAAGGTGCCCACCTCCATAATCTATAAATTTTAGGACACTTCAGAGTAAATGGAAAGAATGGTGCAGTGATCTTCAAAACTCAATCTTTATCCCATTCTTTGTCAGATGCAAACTGATAATTCCATACTTCTATTTTTTTTGTTACTTTGCATGAAAGTCATGCTTTGACTTTTGAAGTCGTTTATACGAATTTTTAGTACTATTGAAATAAGGGGCTGTTTTGACAAAATTTTTGATAGAAGTTTTATCATATTTTGATAAAAATTGATAAAATGTTGTTAAAAAGTTAATAAAAATTATAGTTTTCATGAAATATTTGATAAGTTCTTATTTGAAGGGCAACGAGCATACCTTGACTATCACAAGTTGTGACGTACACTGATTACTTGAGCTGACCTTAGTTGTGTGCCTTGTAAAAGTGCGACAAGTGTTGTCTGATCTCATTTTTGTGCTATACACCGCGGCCATGTAAAGTAAAAGAGCATAAAGGTTGAATATTGAGGCTTTGCTAAAGGTTATATATGTTTACTTTTTCATCTGTATCTTTTCATTTTTCAAGAATAGATTGGTGGGATATGTCTATAACCCAAGATTATAGCTAATAAATGATATAAAATCATTGTGGAATGCATTTTGACTTTTTAATATATTCTTTGTTTATATAAAAATGTTCTACGATGGCATAGAAGTTAATATTCTATTCGCTTATTTTTCTAGTTGATAGAGGTGACATTGCTTTCGTAGGATAGGATCCAACAAAAGACCGGTGGGTTGTGGGTAGTGATGAAGTTGGGATTTTCACATAGAAGAGACAGAAAATTTTAGGATGGGCAAAATGTATGTACCAAATACTTAACCTCTGGTTACTTAATTTTTTATTTTAATATTTGAAAGATCGGATAAGAATGTTGATATGGACCTAAAAAGTAAAAAATTCGATAACTCCACCAAAAAACAGATAGTGAATTTGTGTCTTATGTTGAATCTTTGTCATGGCTCGATTCCTAGATTTATAAGCCAAAGGTTATTTTATGTCTTTCAATAATGGTTGACCAACATGTTATATAATAAATTTGATGGGATTTTGTTGTTTTTTCTTAATTTCTTCTTGGTTTCTTGTTTCGTACTAGGAAATCTTTGTGTTCCATGATTTGTAAAGTGGTTTTGTAACTATTGAAACAAAAGGAAGTGGGAATGGTGGTCCACTAACACCATTATTTTCAGTGGATTCCCGACTCACTTTCAACATTGGATAGCTTTAATTAGCCCTCTTCTGCGTTCTATTATTAGAAGATTTTAATGCTCTTTTTGATATAAAAATCAATATGGATTTTTACTTATCCATAAAATATTCATATTCTTTGCTTTAGAGATTTTTACCGTAAGGACAATCAACAGTCGAAAAATGATTCTTGGAATCGATCCAAATTTATTGAGATTGTTACGCATAGGCGGATGTAGGGGGACCACCCCCCCCCCACAAGGCCCAAGAATTATTTTTTCTTTAAGGCATTTTTTTTTTAAAAAAAAAGTCTTTTATGTGTAAATTTTTTTTTTATTATTTTTTTTCACGTATTAGCCCGACTTGAAATTTTATAGCCCGGTCTTGAATTCAATCCTAGATCTGCCCTTGTTGTTGAGGAATAATAGTTGAAGTTTGTAGAAACACTTGGAGAACACAGTTTGTAACAATCAAAGTGGACGTAGTTTTGGGCATTTTATGTTGTGGATTAATGAGAGAAATAGGTAGTTACAGCATTTATCAAACATTGTTTCTCAGGCTAGTTTGGCCAAGCATAAAATAGAAAGAAATGTTTGAATAATTCATGTTTTTCTTATTTATAAGTACTAAAGTTACTTTTTGAAAGTAACTCTTACCATGCTGTCAAAAATTTCGTCTACTCTATCGAATAATCAGAAACTGAATATGCAGGGGTATGCCAACTTGATGGTACAAATGAGAATGAGCAGCCTAGTGTGAAGCAAACTCTTGTATCCTCTTACAATAATTTACTGGCTCCCAAGGTTAAAGCATATTGCACTGATGCCTCAAGTATGGCTGCGAACGATACAATGATCTTCCAAGAATCTAGACACAATTGCATTGATAATTTTTCGACATGGTTCAATCAGTTCAGCATTCTCCTACAAAGAAGTTTCAAGGAAAGAAAATACGAGACCTTCAATTCATTGAGAGTGTTCCAAGTCATCACAGCCTCGTTTTTAGCTGGTTTCATGTGGTGGCACTCTTGTTACACGGATATTCAGGATCGTCTAGGTCTCCTTTTCTTCATTTCCATTTTCTGGGGTGTTTTATCATCTTTCAATGCTGCATTTGCCTTTCCTCAAGAACGAGCAATTTTGGCGAAGGAACGAGCTTCGGGTATGTACACACTCTCGTCATATTTCATGGCCCGAATCACAGGGGACATGCCTATGGAACTAATCCTGCCAATATTATTCCTCGCTATAGTTTATTGGATGACGGGACTAAAACCCGAACTCACTGCTTTTCTAATGACATTAATAATCGTGCTCGGTTATGTTCTTGTGTCCCAAGGGCTTGGCCTTGCATTTGGTGCACTTATCATGGATGCCAAGCAGGCTTCGACCGTGGTAACTGTCACAATGCTAGCATTCGTTTTAACAGGTGGATACTATGTGCATAAAGTACCATCCTTCATGTCATGGATGAAGTACATTTCTACCACATTTTATAGCTATAGACTTCTCATCACTGTTCAATATGGAGATGGAAAGGTGATTTCCTCATTGCTCGGTTGCTCATCCGGACGTCGAGAAAGAGCTGACTGCAATTTTATCGAGGAAGATATAAGTGGAAATATCCACCCCGCTATGAGCATCGGCATTTTATTGATCATGTTTGTAGGATATCGATTATTTGCTTACATTATGCTAAGGCGCATCGGTGCATGAAACATTGGGGGTGAGTACCCGTGGTCGGAATTTTGTTAAGGGCATGTTTGATATCTATTATTGGATAATGCTAGACTATAAATTGTAGAATGAACAAACATGTCAAATGCACGTCACCTAACATTTCATTTCGGTACTTCAAAACAATAGGAAGATTCTTGATTGTCATGAAAATTGAGGTGCATTTTCTCCTCCATAAGGATGTTTAAAACTATTGGAAGAAGGAAACTTTCATCTCTCTCCCCATTATTTAGGAGTTGAGATCTGCTGTCCATTTAGCTATTCATCCAATTAATTCTTGACATATCATCAATTTAACGAGTTAATGGTGAAATTAACGAGGATAAATTTGAGATAATATTTAATTATTGATGAAATATCAAAAATTAATTGAATGGACAGCAAAATTGGACAACAGATCTCGACTCACTTATGAATTAATTAATAACGTTTTACATGCAGTAAAAATTCATGAAACTAGTTAGTTCTATGGGCATAATTTAAATATCTAATAATGAGTACAAAATATCAAAAATTAATTGGCAAAATTACGTTTCTTAAATAATCATATATCTAAAGTAGCTTGTTCCTTTCAATTGTCCTGATCTCAAACTGTATACTTCGGAGTACATTTGGACACCTAATTTAAGTTTTTTAAACAAATGAGGTATTCTCCATATCTTCTTTGACTTCATGTTCATGATAATTTTGTGGCAATGTAATTGCTATTCGATTTTCATTCCGTATTTCCTCATGTACATTATTGCATTTAATTATTTATTGGAGATGTATTGGTAACTTACAAACAATAAATATATACAAGTAAATTAACATGGTGAAGACTTTCTAACTGTCTAGAAGTATATAGCGGCATTACCAAATCTACGAGAAATTACCTTTTTTTTTTTTTTTTTTTTTGAAGTAAATGTTATACAAATTAATAGCATCTGATAATTAATAAACTAGTATGCAATGAATTATATTAATTTAGAAAGACTGATAAATATTGAAACACAGATTAAACGCACCCAGTATCAAAAAATTTGAACAATAAATATATTAATATAGATTTAAACTGAAAAAAGTAATTTTCTTATTGGCAAATACTTTCTAAGAGTTACGAGTGGACGAGGTTTTCTTATTTGTTGCTAAACATATTAGTAAAACATAAATCAAATGTTCAAATTTAAGTTCTTTTATAAAAAGTAGAAGATGAATCAGTTTCCCAAATATGTCCTTAGGTCCTTAAATCCTTACAATTAATATGAACATTAACTTTATGGGCCATAACCCGGCCCAGTTTTTTTCATTGGTTGGCAAGCCCATTTTGTTTGCTGATGCCACACTCTTGCAAAACCCTCCAAAAGACCTTTCTTTCGAGAAGAATATAGGGAGATTTTAGAGAGGGTTCACGGTATCCAAGTTGCAACATTGTCGACATGAGAAGGAGAAGACACTAGTTTTCGACAAGCTATACAAATTTGTGGGAAAACAAATTGCAAAAAAATTGAGACCCGACCCGACCCGACCCAAAACTGCTTTCGGCTCCAAAAGAACCGGGTTTACTACTAGGTATTAGAACCGCTAGTGAAATGAGTCACCAACATCAAATGGAGGATTTCGGTATTCTCGCGGAGGCGAAGAGCTTATGCGTAGAAATTTCTATGAAACTACGTCGTTTTCAAATATTGTCCCACATTGAGAATTTGTAACCCAAATGGGGACATTAAGACGATGCAAGACTTGTTATAGGTTCAATCTGCAATCAATAGTAACTCTTTTCCACTTTTCAAGAAAGCAGAGAAATGTATTAGTGTAGATGGTGTATTAGTGCAGAGATTGTCAGATTGATTACAAAGTGATAGTTATATTGGAAATTTAGCAACTCATCTTATAACAGGAAGCTGTTTCGCGCGGGTAGTCGGTAACAATTAAAAAAGAGATCAGACAATTGTGTAAGGAACAAACCTCTTAAGACAAAGTCCCCAAAAAGGGGTGTTTTATTGGCGATGATTTACAATTAAAACTAAACAGAATGCCTCCAAGGGGCGCAAGCACACGAGTACTGAAAGAAATGTTTAAGTTTTAAACTAAGAAATTAAAATTACATATTCTCTGTTTGAGAGTGTTTGACTCGGGTTCTTTGCTCTATGTCTTCTCTTCTTTTTATATTCCCTTGATGATTTTTTCGTGATCAACCGTTTAGAAACTACTTAATTGCTTTATAACTATCCACTTTCTTTATGGTGGCTAACTTGTCGTAGAACTGTCGTCTCTAACTGCTTCCACTACTCTTTGTCTTTCAACCGTCTTCAACTGAACTCCTTGAATCGTGGAACGTGATAAGGTTACTCAATAACTGTTTCAATAACTACACTTTTGGATAACCATAATATTTTATGTTTGCTAAGATCCTGGACGAGAACAGGGACATAGCTCTGGGCGACTGTAAGGCACTTCATTCGCTCAGATCTTGGGCGTCTTGCAAGCTTGGGCGATGATGTTATCGTGTTCGTAGGCTTCCACTGCATTCATTAATAACCATATCTGGGCATTTATCCTGAATTGCCCAGTTGGACTTCATTTTTTGGGCTATTTGATTTGGAAATTCCCCAATTGGGTTTCATTTCTTGGGTTATTTGATTTGGACTGCACTTTTAGTGTGTCAACAATTACCCCCCAATATGACAGAATTAATACCAATTATTAATCTTTGCCGTATTTACTTTGTGTTTCCCAGCAACATTTGAAATTTCCAAGAATTTCAATCATTATTTCTTTCCATAGCCTGAAAAAGTGCGATGCTACAAACCCTTATAAACTCCAAAGACACGTCATTTCGTTGTACCATTAAATCACGCCTCATTATTTCGCGCATCTTTCTCGTCATACCACTGTTCATCTTCTTACTTCTCTGCTACATTTCTCAAGCAAACTTTAACAAAACTGTATTTCGTTTACAATGGCTGCTCCACAAATCCAATCTGACGACTCTTTTAGTTTCGAAGATTTCCAGAAAATCCTCACTTGACCATACGTAAATCCGAACTTCCTTGCACCAGCCGATGTCGAACTTAATGAGTTCTATCTAGGTCCTTCATTCAACAACGTCGAAGCCGTCGAACAAGTGGCAGTGGGCCAGCTGTTCCCTTGTACTCAAGGCCCTTCATTCCTGAACTCTTTACCGCCGAGGCTGATTCGCGAAAAAGGTATTCGTACTTGACCTAAATCTGATGTTGTTTTTAGTAGATGGCATGCTCGCCTTGTGGCCCATGGTCCTACCAAGGTAATTTTTGATCGTACTAGGATTTCTGATTTATTAGAAATCTCTCTTCAACCCCCAATTTTTGACCCAGCACTTTTTCCTATTGCTTTAAGTTTTTGGTCTTCTGAATATAATACTTTTGTTTTCCCTCTTGGTCCCATATCTATTACGTTAAGGGATGTTGGGGCCCTTATAAATCTTCCACCTTTGGGCGACACCATTTTCCCTGGTATTTTGATTTCCGATTTTGCCCCAAAATTTGACAAAAAACTCACCGAGTCCTATTCAAGCCTGCAAAGCTGTTATAATCACTCAAACGCTAAGCCTTTCCACACTGAACGTGTGGTCTTTCTTCAGATTTGGCTTTGTAAATATATTCTGTCTGTGCCCAGTATGAAGCCTTCTATGAGCTATTTACCTATAGCGCACGAATTGGCGCGTGGTAGGCCTTTAAATTTGTGTTCCTTCTTTTTGGCTGCCCTCTATAGAGGCGTGGCTTCTCTTCAATTTCAATTGAAGAATGGTGCATCTCCCACTGGCAGTGGACCTCTTTGGTTCACTCAACTGTGGTTGAGAGCCTATTTTCCATCACTTGGTGCTCTATCCATGTCCCTTCGTTCTGCTAGCTGCTATGGGCTAGCCATTGACCCATTAAGCCCTATAAATATGTCCAGAAGGGACTTTTTTTCATTATTTTATACTTTAAATTCAATTCCTTTCTTCTTTCCCTTTCCTGCTCATTTAACTCCAGGTTATGTGCAACCTCCATCCACCCTGGACAGTGCAAGCGCCTCTTTGCTCGTTTGGGTTCAGTTTTTGATTGGGAGGGAGCTATTCCATGATATTTTAACTGGAACCAATGCCAAAGCTGTGGTTGAAATATATGCTCCCCAATTTTTTGCTCGCCAACTTGGTTTTGGCCAAACTTGACCTGTTCCCCTTTGTTATTCAAAAAATTTGATAGATTGCTTTCACACCATTAATAAGGCAGAGGCACAGGCTATAGATGATCGCAATATTCTTTTGACGAGTAACTTTTTATTAGCCCCCTTCAGTCTTAACCATACCGTTCACCCCCTTTTTGAACAACTCTGGCCATCAGTGAAGCGCAGATTGTTTGCAACTGATGCCAATCGTGCTTTCCATTCACTGGATCAACCAAACATTCTTTCCACTTCTCCTATTTTGGTCACCTCTGTATCCATTAGGAATCCTTCCTCCCCTGCTCGTGCTAAACAATCTGTTCGTCCCTCTACTTCTCTACCTGCCAAACCTACTGCAGCTAAGAGTGCCCCAAGCCGCAAAGGGCCAGTTTCAGCATCTCCCGTTTTAGGGGATGATGATGATGACACTCCTCTCATCGTCAGGAGAAAGGTAATTGAATTCTGTTTACTCACAAGCTTACCTTTCTATGTGCTAATAATTTTCTTGAATTTCTCAGGAAAGTTTAGCCTTTCCTTTGAAGGCTTTGGTGTTGGCAGCTCCTGCTCCATCATCCTCTGCTGCAGCTGCTTTGTCCAAATCAGCTGATGAAGGAACTACGCTTAAAGAGAAACCTTCAGTCCCGGAACCTTCATCACAACCAATGGACGAGCCATCTCCTTTCCAGGGTGCCGACCCCCCAAACGTCGAACCAGAAGGTAATACATTTTTTGATGTTTTACTTTTGCTTGTGCTATTGGTTTCTGATTTGTTGCTTCTTTAATCATGCAGAGGCTCTCATGGGTCTGCTCGTTGTGGTAGAGTCTTCTCGCCCAGACAGGGGGAAGTCTCCACAGGTGGTGGGGCCACAAGTGGTGGAACCAGCTAGTGATATGCCACTTCCCAAGATTGCTGATGAGGTAACCTTTTGTTTCACTTTTA